AAAGTGACATACAGTTACCCCCTGTAGAGGACGGGGAGACCCATACGACAGTCATTATTCAGCGCAAACCATACGGCAATGAAGTCATCAAATAAGTCCTAAACCATAATCAAAGTGTATTTCATATGAAAACGTGTGCTCAACAAAATGTTTTTATTTGTTATAAATGTTTTTCACAAAAAACAATAAAGTAAATCAGTTGTACAACGTTTCAATTATTTATGAGTTTAATGTTTTCAATATTTCTAAACAAGTAAAAGGTTATTTAAAAAATTTCATAATTAAAAAGTAATTCATTCCCGCGATATACAGGTACTGATAAAACTCATAGTTATTCATAGGAAACAAATCATAGCAATAGAAACCAATGGACGGACCGCACAAATGCTCTATAAATGCCATCATTTTAAATCGACTATGAAGTGAAACGTTTGAGGTTTGTATAAAATAGTCATAAAGTATATGTCGCGCCTTATATGCCGCATTTGTTACCTGGATACTCATTCTGTTTACATGAATGGTAACTGATAAACAAGTAATAATGAGAAATGTGGCAAAAATACGGGCATAAAAGTTGGTCTCCTTGTGATGAATCGAGTAAATGGTTAACTCCAAGGCTGGGGTCGTTATGAAGTATACGATAAATATGACGTACCGATAGAAATTATTTATATCCCGGGTCACTATGCACAGTGAATTATGCTCATTATAAGCAAGCATAATTAAACCACTGCTCCATTTGTTAGTGATTTTTAATACCTTAATAGACTGTTGTATTTTATGGTAAACTTCGGTAAACTTTAACTTTAAATACAATGAGCACACGTGCCATACCACGAACCCAACCCATATGACACCGAAACCTAACATTGAATGCAATATAATTAAGACGGCGTTTATTATGAGACCAATGATCCTAAGGACAGACATCTCGTAATGATTAGAGAGAATTGCCACCGATATTAGAAAAACTGATGTAATAAATGCCGACAAATAATAAAATATATTCATTATGTATTTGGTTTGATAGCTCACGGAACGCTTAAACCGTTTTCTATTACTGGCATTCAATGGGTATTTCATTGAATTATATTTCAAATGATATACAATTGTAATTATATAAAGTGTCCGGGCCATTTCTTGGTACTGCACCACAATTGCAATCATCGTGATTGATAGGGTCAGGGAGGATAGTATAGTTATTATTATAATTGATTTGCCCATCATATGTATGGGGTCACCATTTAACTGGTTAAATATATTCTGTAATTATAAATTTTTACAACAAAATTCATACATTTGGTTGAATATATTTATTTAAAAAATGGTTTACCTCGTTCACCATGTACATTATTATAAACCTAATACCATTTATCAGGCCAATTATCCTGGCAAATGTTGCCCAGAATATCCTACCGGTGCTCATGTGGCCCGACACGTACTCATCAGTATTTCTCGATACAGTCAACAAATATCTTTCACATATTCTCTCGATTCTTATGATATCGTCGCTGACATCGGAATTATATTCTTTAGGTTTAAAATACAATTTTCTAAACTTTTTGCTTAATTCTGGTTTAGAACTCATTTCAAATGTATTGAAATAATTGTCATACAGTAAATTAATTGACTTAAGCCTCACAAAAACCTATTTAATTAGATTGAATATTTAATATAATTCATTATGAAAAAAATAGTTTTTACACTACCAATTCTATACGAGTACTTTGTGTGCATGAATTATCAACGATTTTGTGTAATATTTATACAAAAAATGTTGCAATAAATATAAATCAAAACTTCAAATATGCTACTTTGCACGCATATTATTAATACACTTAGTAGCAAAACTTTATGAAAAAAAATCAAAATCAAAAATATGTCATATCTATGTCTCAAAAATCAAAAAAATATGCACGAATTTAATGAAAACATTTATTATCATAGTAAACTGTTTTATATGTATTGATTTCATTTTGAGACATCATTATAGAAATCTTATAATTTGATAAAATACATTATCTTCTAAATATAAAATAAATTGACATTGATAATTGTTATCTAATTGTTCATTTGTTATATAGTAACCACCACTACATACTCCCTATCCGTGACTATAAATTACTCTACACGAGTCATCAGCAGCACGTGTACCTCACGTACACTCTCCAGTCATACCTGTGCCTCACCTACAGTGAATGTCCCTAGGTTATCAATATTTCTACTGATTTCTGAGTTTAAAAATTTTATTTAATTTAAATAAAAGTCATCAATAAGTTATTTAATGAAATTAATTCTATACATTTTAAAATGTTTGCAAATAAAATATTTAATACAGTAACTTTATAAATTATTTTTATTTAGTAGTTTATTTCATTATACTGTAGATTACAAATTAACTTTATAATAGAGTTTATTAAATAGACATGTATCAAGTCTCATTTAATAATAATAGTTATTAAAATATAATTCAAACTGGAGATAAATATATACCGGTACAACTCGTAGTTATTCATCGGGAACAAATCATAGCAATAGAAACCAATGTCAGGTCCCGACAACTTCTCAATGAACGCCAGAATCTTAATCCTGTTTTTCAACGATATATTTGAATATTTAATCAAATATTTATAGTTTTCCGCGTCCTTTGAACTTCAAGTATGAGCCGATCATAGAGACGCCCACTCCCAACAGCACCGTCAGTATAAAGCCATACCCGGCCGCGTTTATGGAATAGGACCCGGCTTTTATCAATGAACCTAAAAATCCGCTCAATTCCGCACCCTTTGTTTCATTAGATTTTTGTTTTAATAATAATTATTATTATTTAATAAAAATAAAAACATTTGCTATTTCTATACATCAATACCTCATCGATCCATAAATATGGCAAAAGTGTTGGCTTGAATCCATTGAGTCCGGGTACAAATGTGAATGGTCTGAGTTTGAGATTAATCTGGAAACGTCCGCTACCTCTCAGTGTTACCCCTAATGTCTAAGTGTACAGAAAAAATTAATTAAACATTTTGTTATAAAATTATCACAATGTTATGTCAATTACGGGCTCGATATCGAAATATCCCAGATGCTTTTGCCGGTCGGGACTGAGTCCCCGGACACCCGATAGAAAACGCGGCGAATTGAGGAAATGCGGGAAAGTCATGGCAAAGGGAACGCCTGCCAGACACTGGGAGAGGTCGAACACGCCGTGACATTTACGCTGATCCACATCCTTGGGACAGAAGCACCAGTTCTCCGGCTTATACTCCGGGCCGTCGAATAGGTTGTCCGGGAATTCGTAGTGATAGGCCGACACACCATTGGCCGATGAATCGCTGTGTAATAGGTTTTGTGCTTGTTCATATTTGGTAATTGTTTTGTTGCAGTGTGTTTATAAGTACCCGGAGTAGTCGAGTCGAAAGGAACGGCATGCGTGCAGATTGAATAGATAGAGGGGTTGAGAGCTGTCCACAAATGTGCCGAAGAATGAGCCGTCGGTGCCGTTGAGGGCATCGCATGACACGTGTCGGTATATACCTAAGCGACTGATACACAGGTAATCATAACCATTAATTGTGTTTATATTTACATAAAAGTTATTCGTTGAAAATAGGTTAATTAGTTCACTTAGGATAAACACCGTAGACTTTGTAAATAAGTTATATAATAATAGAAATTAATACTGCTTGTATAGTGTTTTCAAAATTAATAATGTAATTTATTTATGAAAGTAAAACTTATACATTAAAAATAATAAATAGAGAAAATTTATCATAGATTTAGAAATTAGATATTATCTATAAATCATAAGTTATAATTTGATAGAAAAATCTAGAAGTATAATACTAATAAAATAAAAATATTTTTTTAACATTATATTTAAATAAATTAAAAATTTTTAAGAATTATATTGTATAGTTTTAGTCTATTATCATAGTTATCATGGTAGTGATACTTAAACCTAATAAGCTAGTTGCGTGTATTAACTTTATAAACTTACTAAATCTATAAATAATAAGGTATGTACTTATTGATGTTTTTAATATAAATATTTTTAAACTTTAAGTTTGATTTATTTTAATAGTACCAGTTATAAGGTCATAATTAAAAACAATTGAATGCACATACCTTTTATCTAAATAAGTGGAGTATTTGTCAAACTTATCTCTACCCCTCTCACCAGTCATTGTCTCAAAGGGTCCAAATTTACTGTTGTTTCTTATGGCCAAAAATCCGTACTTATTATCCTTCAATTTATAGGCAGAGATACCGTATTCAGGGATGGGTAGGCCTAACATACGCAACGGTTTGGCCACTATATCTATGGTGTCTAATAATGTTATGCGGCGACCGTTTAGTACTTCGCCGACAGTACGGGTTTCGATGAACCGCTCCCTATGTGTGACCAGTAGTGTATTCACCACATTGTTCACTATAGGGGACACTATTGGTGTCAATGGGAACCTCTCGACCGCTGAGTTTATGATCGAGAATATCAACTGAAATATTAGTGAAATTGCAAATTAATGTAATTTTTTGATGAATATTTTACGGTATAATAGTTTTAGCTTAATTTTTTAATTTATGGTAAATTAAACAACTTGATTTTTGTGTGTATAAACTATAGCAGGCTATTTATTTTATTATATACAGAGCTCTGTATATTGAGCTAATACAGAATTTGTATTACAGTATTAATGCTTATGATATAACCTTGGACAAAATTACACCAAGTATATAACTTACTAATTATAGTACTATAGTTCGGAATAATGAATACAATTATGTAACTCATGTAGTTAATTTGTTTTTAATTTAAAAGTGACTCACTTTCTTATGTGAATCATTGAGATCTAATTGTTTATTATGTATATTTATTACCTAATAGCTTAGTTTTACCTTGCTCGTCTCTGATATCATTATTATCTTCAATGACAGCTTTGATTTATTGAATATTAATTGCTTTTATCGAGTAAATTATCTTATGATATGTGACTCAAACATATCTATTGCTATAAATAAAATATTTATTGAATATTTAAAAATAAATATCTGAGCGAATATAGCCAAACGTGTAACAGAAAAAATGCTTTAATTTTAAAGTAAAGTCGTGCAGGTCTCGCAGCTTTCGATTACTCATATATAATGTCCACATTTTCATAACTATTTTCACTGATAAATACATTAGTTTATACATAAGGGTTATAAATTAATTTGTTTAAAATATGAACATTATATATGAGTAATCGAAAGCTGCGAGACCTGCACGACTTTACTTTAAAATTAAAGCATTTTTTCTGTTACACGTTTGGCTATATTCACTCAGATATAACTTATAAAAGATTTTATAGATTTTTATGTAATCTTAATATTTTTTATGCAAAATAAATGTAATAAACAAAATTAATTTAAAAATAACACTTACTAGCAGAGGAACATTGACCAGAGTAATTTTATCATCGAGTCTGCCTTTACTAAGTTCAGGGTCAAATACAAACTTCAGTGTCTCGTAGTATTTTACTTTATCCTTATCCTCAGACCTTTAGTTTCAAAAAATAAATTTTTATTCATAATCATGTCAATCATGGTAATCATATATTAATATTTTTAATTAATATTTTTAATTAATATAAACATAATTATTGATAACTATTCAAATTATAGATAAAAGTTATTTGTTTCTAATCATTATGAATACATAAATTAAATATTTAATAATTACTTACCATTCGATGATTTCTCTAGTTTTATACTCTCTGTGAAAATCAAATGACACAAAAATACAATCAATAAAAGTTTGTGAAATAAAAGGTAAGTGAGTACTGACTTATAGACATAGGGGCCCATCTCCCTGACCACAGGAACGGCACCTTCAGAGAACTCATTCGGATTTTGAATGTCAAACAAATAGACTTTTG